TTTTTACATAAAAAACTTAAAAAAGTTTCTGCTTTTTAATGATTATATAAATCTCACCGAAAATATTTCATATGATATTTGTTTTGTTTAAAGAAACGACTCATTCATAGAAAATCTTTGCGTTTGTGACCATTGTTTCTGTGAATAACTTTAATGAGTGCTTACATTAGAGTAGAAATCTTCACAAAAAAGTAAATTGTTATTTGAATTTCAAGTTTTCAAACATTTTGCAAATATATTTACAATATTGAGTGTGTTTTGGTCTAAACATTAGTCTCAAAAGTTAGCTAAACTTCTTAACCGAGATTTATTTGTTTGGTTAAAATGATTGCGAAAACTTATCGATTCGTTAATATGTGGATTAAAGAGATCTATCGACTATTTGTGGTGAGTTAATGATGGTAACTAATAATTATATTTGCTATAAATTTTAAGACTAATGAATGAATTGTAAATATTAATATTTAAAATAATAATTACCTCAATGTTGTAATAATAGACCTGTTTATGTATATGTGTTTAATCATTGCTATTGTGACCCAAATCTTAAAACAAAACACACAATAAACATGTTATGTTATATTAAACCAATTCTTAAATTAGTGTAATTACAAAATTTGATTCATTATAAAACAGTTTGCGATGATATTTATAAAATTATATTACAGTTAAAATTTTTGTCATCAAAAAGTGACAGATATTACAATATTATTCTCTACAGATATTACAATTCAATTATTAAATTGTATTTGAAATTTCAACCAAGAATTCAACGACAGATGTTATTAAATAAAAATCAAATAAAAGAGTTAATAAAATTAATTAAATTATCGCAAGTTTTTCTCCAATTAATACTATAATTTTTGCTTAACACTTAATGATAGGTTTATTCGATGGGAAAATCAAATTAAATATTAGATATAATAATAAATTAAATGAATTGATAAATGGGTTAATTTGATTCCAATCGTCAAAACAAAATGTTAATTAATTTTAATAATTGATTAGATTTTTTATCGCAACAAATCATGAAATCTCAAAACACAGGTCTATAAGAAATCTTTAATAATAGCTAAGGATTCGTAAGAGTTAGACAAATAAATGTCTTAAATATATGAACATTAAAATAATGGTTTTATTAAACAAAACATTTTAAATGATTACACATTAATGTGTATTCTTTTAAGTTATTATGCAATTTTATTTTACAAGAAATTTCATTTAATTAATTTTATTATTTGGATAATTATTTTTATTAGAGAAAACGGTAGACTTTTTATTATAAACGATTTAAAGTTTTGCAATTAATTAAAAACTTTCATTTGTAATAATTTTTTAATTTTTCAAAAAGTCTCCCTTTCCTATCCTCCACTGATTTCCCACATCTGTCTATCAATTGTTTATTACATTTAAAGTATTTTGAAAACCTTCCATCAAATGCTAACTTTCACAATCTTTTTATAATCTTAACAAATATTAAAATATTAATAACAACAATATTTTATAAAATAATAAATATTCAAATTCAAATAATTTAAATGATATCTAATTTGTACTTAATTTAGTATAAAACCCACAAAATTAGCCCACATTTCAACGACGTTGTCGATTAATTTGTGGGACAGATTGGTATCAACAAATTATCTGTAATTTCTCTCTCTCTCTCTCTCTCTCTCTCTCTCTCTCTCTCTC